GGGGGGGGGGGGCAGAGAGACAAAGCCAGATAAACACGCCAACACAGGTGGGTGGGTGGGCGTCGACGGAGCGGCAGAGACAAAGACGCGAGCATGTGGCATGGATGGAACGGGGTTGTGATGGTGTTGATGGTGTTGATGGTGACTGGTCACGCGCGGGTCCGTGCGACGAGTACTTGAGATCGGGGGGGTGGATGTGGCCAGTATTTTGTCGCGGTGAAAAGACAGACGCCGTACCACACGAAAGGGAGACAGCATGGGCGGCGGCGGCGGTGGTGGCGGTCCACACCGTCTGGGGTAGCCTCTTGTTCTATGTGCACCCTTTCCGAAGACTTGACAAATAAAAACTCTCTTGCCTTCCTCTTCCAAAACAAGGACGCATCCTCTCTCCCCACACACGGCGCGGTGACAAAAAACACGGACATTTTTTTTTTTTTTCTGTTTTTGAACGATAAAAAGAAAAATGATTCTTAATTTGTTTTTTCATACCTTTCCAGCCAGTCCACAACAAACTCCCTCCAGGTCCCACCAACACGAGAAACACCGACAGTTCTTTATTTTCAAAAAATACTGACAGTTCTTTTTTATTATCACACCTTTCCAGAGAGTCCACAAAGAACGCCTCCGTCTCCTTAACTCCCTCCAGGTCCCACCGGGGCCTCGAAGACAGGCCGCACCCCAGCCAGTCCTTGGCCATCACGTGCGTCGACGCCGTCAGCTCGCCCAGGTTAAGGTGCCACCCGCCGACCCCCATGCCGTACCCGTGGCAGAGGACCACCGGGATCTGTTGCAGGGGGCACGAGGAGTGGGGGGGGGGGGGGGATACTCATGTTTTGCATGCCGTGGTCGTTAGACCATTGACCACGCGTCCCCGAGGGGACGAAGCATTGCGTATAGGGAGGGAAACGCATGCCGTAGTCGTTAGACCATTGACCTGGCATCCCTACAAGGGCCGGGACGGAGCGATGTGCCGGGTGTTCGCCGGGGTGGGGGGTTGGGCAGGGGGTGGTATCGGGTATTGCGGTCGCGACAGGGTCGCCAGCGCTCGTGTAGCACCCGCGGCAGAACCCACCAACGCACCTCTGACTTCCCTTTGCCGCCTTCAACAGTGTGGATGTGCTGTTCGCTCCCGATGTCGGCGTCGAAGACGTTCAGGTTCAAGGCGGACTTCTCCAGCAGCAGCAGCAGCAGCAGTACAAGTAGCAGCAGCAGCACGAGGTCCAGCCACAAAAGGGCACCCCCGAAAACAAAACAGACGACAATGGGCACCACAGAGAGGAGAGAGAGAGAGAGAGAGAGAGAGAGAGAGAGAGAGAGAGAAATTAATGTGCAGCATGCTTGCCAAGCCACCACCAAAGCAGGGGTCTACCAAGTTGTTAGTTGCACGGACAGTTGCACGGACGGTGTGGATCGAGAGGTGGACAACGGACGGAGATACGAGGAGAAGGGGGTGTGGAGCAGGTGAAACTACTACTGAACGTCCCCGTCTTCCGTCGTTGCGAGTGCCCACGGGGCCTCGCCCGCAGTTGGTTTGACCCACCTTGTAGTAGGTTGCACAGCAGCTTTTGAGGTTGTCAGATCTCAATACAGGGTTCCTATAGAGCCTGCATTAGCAGAAACAACAGCTGCCGAAACACGCTCTTCTTGCTACGTACGGTACGGGCAAACAGCACGTGTTATGCACGTAACCAGCAGGACGGGACGTCCAACGTTGTCAATGCTAACACACAAGCGAACGTTGGTTAGCAAGACCTACTCTTTTGTACTTTCTGCCGTATCATGTTTGCAGCTTGCTTCCCAAAGTTGGAAGAAACGCTAGTCGGCAGCAGTTACGGTCTCTTATTACGTAGCGATCTATTACACACCGCTTAACGTTGCGGTTGTGGCTCACCTCCCATACATAGGGGTCCAATAACAAGAAAAAATATACTTCGGGCGAAGCGCGAAAAAGAAGGGGCGGGGATAGAGAGGCAAGCAGGTGTAGATAGATATGGATGGAGCCTTAGCCATCACGCAGAGGTCACCACTGCCACTGCACACGCTCACACCTCTAACCCGCCACCACCAGTCAGATGTGTATGCGGGACTTCTGCTGTGTACATAGCAGCGCGGGGACGAAGTGATTTTTCCGAAGTGTCATTTTTATTATTATTTCCCACGAAGTCTGAAAGGTAACTCTCTGGCAAATAACGAGGGGGCGACACCGGTCGCTTCCCTCTCTCATCCAGAATCCAAGTTCCCTTTCATGTCAACTGGCCGGGCCTAACAAAATGCACTGTTTGGTGTGGACGAAGTTCTCATCCATCAGCTGCTTGCTGCTGCTTGCTGCTGCTTGCTGCTGCTGCTGCTGCTGCTGCTGCTGCTGCTTCTGCTGCGTGGATGCGTGCACTACTTGCCTCCCTCGTTTCGGCTGCTAGCAGCAGGCGACGGGCCCTAAAAATCGCTCCCGACGCCTCATGCGGTATGATGTGTGTATTTGGTCGCCCTTGCCTACAGCAGTGTGTGCGTCTCATTGTCTCGCTGTTTTTGGGGGGGGTGCGTTTGTTACGGATCAAAAGATCGGCCTGCAGACAGACACAGACAGACGGCAGATTGATTGACTTGTGTGCAATTGCTTCCCTCGCTGATACGCTGCTAGCAGCAGGCAACGGGCTTCAAAAATACCGACGCCTCGGATGAGAGGACACCGAATCCTTCGGTGTGCCACAGGGATACAGAAGGATGACGTCACAAATAGCAAACAAACGTGTGTGCGGGACACAGACAGCGAGGTGTCTTGTTTTCGATGTACCAGCAGTATCGTATGCATTCAATTTAACGCGGTGGGACACCTGCTCCCTTCAGGAAAACACGTCTGGCTGAACTCACAAAAAGTCTCTCCTCCGCGCTTCTGAGGGAATCAAGGGAGCTGGCCGTCCACCTCATCTTGGCAAGGCTCTCACGCAAGGTCACCCTGCAAGGGGTTTTCGCTGCAGCTGCCGCTGCCATGTTATTCTCTTCCTCCTCGCTGCTGGTGCTGGTGCTGGAAGAAGAAGTCGCCAGAGGGAGAACGGGAGACGAAGCTGCCGCTGCTGCCGCTGCCGCGATGGTTACTTCCGCCGCGCCGCCGCCGCCGCCGCCGGTGGTGGTGGTGGTGGCCGGTGCTTCGCCTCGAGCTCCGGCTTCGCGTGTTGCCGCCTGGCCCATCACTTGGGTAGCAAAACAGGCGGTGTGTTGACCGGATTAGATCACCAGATGTTCAAGGAGAACAAGTGTTGTTGTTGTTGTGCTTTCGTATGTCGACCAGTAAAGGGATTAACGCACCCAGGCAGACGAAGAGACAGAGGAGAGGAGAGCTGCAGTGTGGCGAGAGGTGGATGGTGAGGTGCGGGAGACAGACGCGCTATCTAGAGCCTGCGGGACAAGAGTGCGGGAGAATCGGCAAACTTGTTTCATCGGAATTTTAAGCCGCATGCGAAAACGCCTCCTGGGCGAAACCGGGGTGTAGTGACATGCTCCCATACACCCCCGCGGGGATTTACCCGCCGCTGATGGCCCGGCGGTTTCTTCCCTTCCACTCTATCGCATCATCGAGGATGAAATACTCACACAACACACGCCACCTGAAAATCACACAATCCTTGTTCCGAGGTTCAGTTGAGCTCCTGTCTGTGCCGTGCGAGGAAGTAAAGCCTCCGGAGAACGTTTTTTTTTTTTTTACAGCTCCTCCTCCCGTGTGACCCCCCGGCAGACACGTCAATCATAACACCGAGAGTTGTGTGTAGACTGGCGCCAGAATGAATGGACGGGGACCATGTTGATCCATCAGAGTTTGCAAGGGCAAGCTCCCTCGCTGCACAGTGTTCACGTGTTCACCCACACCACCCGGTGCGGGGTCAACAGTAGAGCGGATATACGGAGGAAGACAAAAACAAGTTGATCCAGAACAGTTTATGGCGAACTTTCTTCTCTTACAATAGAGGACATGAAACGCCGAACTAGCATAGAAATGCCTGCAGTACTCTTGGCGCAGTCGCTTGAACCATGTGTGCTCGCGCGTGCGCATAGCCTACTGCCGCTGCTGCTGTAGACTCGTACAGCAGTAGTGCTATACACTCTCACCACGTATTCATGTTCAAGTTCTCAAATAGAAAACACCTTCCTAATAGCTTCACACCACAACCTGTATTTGAGTCGATGTTTTACGGATCAGCATATATCCTTCAGAGAAAGAAACGAACCTCTGCCAAGATTCCAGATGTTGTCAGGACCTGGCGCCTGGCTAGGCAACCGAGCATTACACAATCTGTGCCCGGTTCGGACACCCCCACCTCGCAGGATTCAGGCGACTAATCCATCGCATCTCATATGAACGATACAACAACAAAACAGATGCTGCTGCTGGCAGTGATCGTGGAAGGAATCCGTTTTGATTTGCTGGGCACCGACTACCAGTACGCATGCACATATTGACCACGATTCGGTTGATTGAAGAAGTCGAGATAGATTGATACTTGAAGTACATGGATCGGATGTGACTGCCGCGGAGAGACAGACGGAAAATAAAAAGGGGAATCGATGAGCGCGGGCAAAACAGACTGCATAAAAAACGTTTTTTTTTCGTCGGGGTTCGGGCAGACAGAACAAGCAGTTTCAAGAGCCCACAGCTCTTCTTACAGCCATCAAAATTGCTCCCGTCAAACAGCTATTATAGCGATTCAATACCGTAAGAGGCGGAGAGATGGCACCCTGCCTACGTAGACCGACTTTCAAAGCTCGATTGCTCCACAACCAAGTGGCTGCGGAAAGAGCCCAGTAGGTACAGGTACGCCTACGGACCCCCCTCGACGAGACGTTTCTAAAACCACCGTTGTTGGTACTGGCACAAGCATAAGCTTGGGTGTGGAACAATCGAGCTGATAAATGGATCTACGGGGAGTGCCATATCTCCACTTCTTACGGTAGTTGGATAAGAAAACGGGAGGGTAGCAAGCGCACGACTCCTAATCTCGAGTGCGTTCATTGGCCGAAAAGGGTTCAAAACTGATGTTTGCATGTGCAAATAATTCGGTCCTAGCACGTGCACATGTGAACACATGAAAATCGAGTCACATTTCAGTTGTCGGACTGTTTGTGCTCGATAGGCATACTCAAAACGAACGTTCCAATCCCCGCAGGAATTCGTTGATTTTTTTCGACTCTTTCCACCACTTTCTTGCCTTGTTTCGGTGCGCGGCTAATATCTAGCAATATTCACCACCTTCCACCCCTGGACCTTGCAGGCATCCGTTTTGCTTACACAGGAACAAAATAATCTCGCAACAGCCCAACAGGAAAGAAATTAGACATGAAAACAAGTGAACCAGTGGAGAAGGGGGCATACTTCCCCCGCCACACGCCCCGCAGCCCCATCTGACGTGTGCTCCCCGCCCCCCGAAAAACTCGATAATTCATCATGTGCTGCAGTGCACGCGTTCACAGAGGGCCTCATGCACACACACCCCTCTGCGGTCACAGGCACAACCAATGTCTACGTACACGTGCCCGGCAGTTTCCCGTTTTTTTCCAACATCAGATTTGCAAGTACGAGTTCTGAATCAAACCCCGCCTATTGCCAACGGCGTGCAAGCACACACCTACAACAAAGACATGTAAAGAACAAAAATTATTCAACAACAAATTTCGGAAAAATAACGTACATATATCAAAAATTGCTTGTGCAAATCCACGTTCTCGCGGTCCAACTACTCGAACACGGATGGACTACTTCGCGACCTTCCCTCCGACAAAACGGAGGCTTCCTCCCAACTGCAGCGCGCTTGTTTTCCTCTCTAGAGGCCCCCTCCCCGGTCACTCGTAAGGCCCGGAAAATAACGAAGCTCCCAAAAAATCCAAATCCAAACCCAAATCGAGCTGTGATTGGTCGAATACCAAAAATAACGCCGTTCGTTTTTTTTTTACCGGCAGAGCTCAATTTTTATTTTTATTTTTTCGATTTTTGCAGTTTTGGACCTTCGTTAATTCGGAGCCTAACGCGAAAGCAAACCGGGACTATGGTCCTGAAAAAAAACAAAAAAGCGGCTCCTTTTTATGGCGCGCGCGCGCGCACATGCGGCCATGATCCATCATCAACGCCGAAAAGGTGAAAAACATCATTGCGACTTGGACCGAACACGAACGCGACAGGGACAAAAAAAAATGGAACCGGCAGCAACCGCCGCCGCGGCTGCAGCAGGAGCGCCACCAACCAAATCAAAAACAATAAGGAGTTATCCCCCGCTTCTGTCAGTCAAAAGCTCAACTCACGGCCGAAGCCCTCTTCACGCATTATTGCGTCTACCATGCGGAAAAGAAAACCGCCTGAGTCCCCCCCGCGAAAAACAGATACGACGGAAACGAAACGGACGCAGGGTCCACCGAAAACACACACCGCGGCCGAGAAAGACAACAAAATGTAAAAAAAAAAACGCACAACACAAGAAAACTGTATCCTTGTGGTAAGGGTACACGCAGCTTCAGGGAGCAACCAACTCCTGAAGTTCCAGGAGAGGTAACCTACGACTATTTCTCATCCCCCTCTGCCGACGACTTGAAAACAAAACGCGACATTTCGCCGTTCCATGCAGGCGGGTGGGTCGATTTGCACCCGCTCCTTTTCTTCTTGAGGCGAAAAAATCGAAACGAAAAAAAGAAAAACTGTTGCATCGTACACCAATCGCGCCTCGGAACGAAACACACGTGGTAGCAAAACAGGGGAAGTTATTAGGCTGGGCCTGTTGCCGTGTGTATCGCCACGACGCTCCAGCTGCAGTCAGCCACGAAAAACAAAAAAAAAAACAATAAAAATATTCGCGTGCCCCCTCCCCCCCCCCCCCAGCCCCGGGTCACGCGCGTGTGCGTCTACTACCACTACGAGTGGCTCTCGCGCCGGGCCTGCGTTGAGGTCGCCGAGGCTTGGGTAGCAGCTGCCGCGGGGGACGTGCTGAACTTGCTGTACTTAGCGGCCGCGGCGGTGGCCGAGAAGTCCTCCACCCCGCCGATACCGGCGCTGGCGTAGGCGGGCTTCCCGCCCCCCGTCCTGGCTCTCGGGTTCGAGAAGAAACGGTTCCGGATCCCCCCCCCGCCGCCGCCGCCGCCGCCGCCGTTCGAGGAAAGATCCAGAGACCCGAGGCCCCGCGAGCCCCCGCGAGCCCCCGCGGGGGACGGCGAGCGCGAGACCGGGCTGCCGGAGGTTTTGCCGTGGCTCCTGGACGGAACGACTCCCCCGCCGGACGAAAAGAGCTTCGCCCCTTCCCGGAAGGCCTTCCCGATGCCGGTCTTCCTCAGCCTCAGCTTCGCCCTCGTCGGAGAGGCCGAGTGGCCCCCCCCGCGGCCGCTCGCCGATGCGTCGGACCCCGCGGGCGAACGCCGCGCGCCCGTCCAAGAATGGTCCAATGACGACCCCGCGGGCGAGCGCCGCGCGCCCGTCCCGGAATGGTCCAGCGACGAGCCCGTCGGCGACCGCCTCCGGCCGTACGCCCCGCTGCCCGACCTGTCGATGTCGTCGATCGGCTCGGGCGCGGGCGTTGGTCCCTTCACGCGGAAGGTGGTGAAGCTGTCGTCGTCTTCGATGCTGCCGCCGCCACGGCCGCCGCCGCCGCGGTGGTCTGCGGGAGAGGCAGACCTGGTCGGGCTACGAGTCCCGCTACCGCCGGCACGCGTCTCTACGGTGCGCCGCTCGATCCCGCCGAACCTTCTCCGCTCCACAACCGTCTCACCGCCACCACCACCACCACCCCCTAGGCTGCCGCTGCCGCTTCCTCCGCCGCGGTCTCTCCCTCCTGCAGCAGCGCCGAGGCCGCCGGCCATCGTCTTGATCACGTCCGCGTTGTGTTCGGCTTCGCGTACGGAGGCGGCGACGTCCGCCGGGTTCGTAAACGGCCGCGCTGCAGCACCAGCGGTACCTGGACGAGGAGGAGGAGGGGGAGGAGAACGGCCGGAACCACTACCCCTAGCGCCGCCGCCGCCGCCACCACCACCGGAGCCCGGGAACTGCGCTTGGAGGTTCGCTCGGTGGCGCACGCGGTGGTCAGCAGCGTCGGCCGCGCCCGCACCCGCACCCCAGGCGATGTCATCGGGGGTCGGTGGCAGCGGACGCGCAGTACCACCTCGTGCCGGCGACCGGGCCCCGCCGCCGCCGCCGCTGCCGCCGTCGCCGCCGCCGGGGGCGACACCGAGGGTGTCTCTACGCCCCCTGCCTCTCGACGTCGGCGTCGGCGAGCGTTCTTCACGGCGCGCAGCAGTCGGATCAGCCTGCTGCTGCTGGTGCTGCTGCCCCTCGCCCCCTCTTCTCGGAGGCGTTCTCGACGCGTTCCGCCGGGCGAGGGTCCCCACCGTGCGGCCCGGTCGCGGCTGCTGGTGCTGGTGCTGCGACGACGAGCCCTCGTCGTGGGACGGCGTGAATCCAGCGGAGGCGGCGGCGGCGGCGGCGACGTTCCCGCCGCTGCCACCGCTGTTCACGAGGGCCTCGTATGTAGGGGGAGGCGCCGCTCTCGCAGTTGCCGCCGCCGCTCGACCAGCGGGGGAGCCAGGCGTCTCTGCTGTCCTTGAGTCTCCCTGCTGCTGGCGGCCCCGATTTCGCCCCTGCTGTTGAAGCGCGTGCGGGTGCTCCCCCCGCCGACCCTTCCTCCCACCACCCTCGGCACGGGCCTCGGGGGTAGGGGACACCACGGCTATGGTCGCCCGCCTGCCGGTCGTCGGGGTCGAGTGAAACTGCGGGGCCCCCGCCCCCAGCGATCCCGGTGAACGGGGAGGCTCCGATCCCTTCGCCCCCCCTCCGGCCTTCCACACCCGGTGCAGCGCGGCCTCGCCTTCCGAAGGCAGGCCCCGCAGCGAGGCGGTCGTGTTGAACCCGCTCGCCGCGGAGCTCTGCCTCAGCAGCCCCGGCGAGCCTTCCCCGCCGTCGCCGCGGTCGTCGCCCCCGTAGCCGCTGCGGAAACGGGTCGAGAAGGACGGCACGCTGCTCCCCAGGGTCTCCGCTGGCGACATCTTCCGGGCCCCGTAGGAGGGTGCGCTCTGCCCGGTGGCGTCCTCCACGTCGATCCCCGTCCCGGGGGGCCCACCATCGGTCTCTGACATGTTCAGCATCGCGGCCCCGGCGGCGTGCACGTCGTCCTGCTGCCGCGGCGACACCCCCCGGTGCCCCCCGGTGCCCCCCCCCCTCACGCCGGTGCAGGACTCTCTCGCCGTTTGCCGCCCAGCGTCATCGGGCGCGTACCCCAGCATGGAACGGTCCGGAGGCTTCGCGCGGGTGAAGCCCTTCAGCTCCGAAAAGTACAGGACCAGCTCGTGAGCGTCCTGAGAAAAGGGGGCCCGTGAGGGATAATGGGGGGGGGGGCATGATCAACAAAACTCCCTGATTAACATGTTGTCCGTTGTGTGTGAGAATGAAGGGGAGGGAGGGAGCCTTGCAGGGCGCGTCGCGCGCTTCGTACGGATGCGAGGTCAACGGTCTAACGACTACGGCATGCACGGCTATGAGTATGTACATGTACTACACACCCCGTTATACCACACACCAATTAGATCAGTCTCACCTTCAAGCAACCGCAGGTGATGTCCATTGACCTCGCCGAGAAGACGAGGCTTACCGCCGCCGCTCTTTGCTCTTTGTTGTCGCCCTGGGTATCGTCGGTGGTCGAACCAACACGCAATAGGCAAAAAAAGGGTGGTGGTAGCAAGCCAACCGAATATTATCAGTCGAGGGTGAAAAACATAGGACGGGACACGTAAAGACAAAAGAATCAAATGTACAGTACCAGGAATGTACCGTAGCGATTCCACAAACATTTCCATCCAGGTATACCAAAGAAAAACATGGGAAGCATTCTTCGGCGACGTACCCAACGCCCGGTTCGAAAGACGGTTCCCTCGAACTTTCCAAAGCCGTTTGAGCGGCAGCGGAAGAGAAAAACTGCTTCTTCTCGAGCCCTAAGCTTAGGTATCTCGCAGCGGGAACGGCATTCCCTCTCATTTAATGGGCAGGCAGGGTTGCTATGTCCCGACTCCCATCCGTATACCACATGGAGCAGAGGCTCTCTACTGACGAGAGGCCTCGAACTCCCGGGTTTGCTGAACGAGGCTGATATGACGGCCAAGGGGCCGCCTTTTTTCTCTGTGAGCTAAACCCCCCACAGCAAACGACACTTTTGAGCAAAAAACAAACAACGGAACGATATTACCCACCCACCCCACGAGGGTAATCTTAATCTTTGTTCTTCCTTCGCTCGCGTGCACCGTCTCTCGACGGTATTCCTCGAGAGACGTCAGGCGTGCAACGACACCACCACCACCGAACCCGGCGTGCTCCGTCCCGGTCTGTAGGGATGCGAGGTCAATGGTCTAACGACTACGGCAATGCACGACTATGAGTACCCCCCCCCTCCCCCCCCCAATATCTGCAGCTGGGGAACCCCCTACGGTTGCGCCTTACCGCCGTGGCCCTGAGAAGCGATGAGGTCGGTCCGTGCGCTGAAAGCCCCCCTCCAACCTGTTCTCACAAGAATAAAAGAAACGACGAAACACGCGCGCGGCGGCCAACCGACGGGTGAGAAAGCGCCATTTTTGTTGTTCCCATCACTTACAAATCAGCGCTCACCGCATTTATGCCTGCTGTAGTGTGACACAAAATAACCCAACCTTCCGCAAACGATTAACTCCCCACATAAAGCACAAGACCACGCCCGGCGGCAAAATCCGTACACGCCAAAATGGGGCCCAAAACACAAATCCTATTCTCAGATCAAGCAACAGGGCGACGACACATGATACCCTACACACTCCACACAGTAGTAACGAACACATCGGCGAGGTTTGCTGTAGGTATGGTCTGAGCGGGGGTGTTGTCTTGTGTCGAATTACCGGACAGGACAGCACCCAGGTGTCCAAAGTTTGACCGCGCGCCAACTGGGACAACACTGAAGCTAAGCACAGCCGCAACGGCAAGGGCCACGTCTGGCTGTCTCCCTCCCTCTCTCCCTCTCTCTCTGTATCTCTCTCTCTCTGTATCTCTGTACCTCTTGGCTTGAAAACGGGTGGATGGGGGCGTGCTCATGTTGTGAATGCCTTCTAGCGGTTAGACCATTGACCACGCATCCTCGAGAGGACGGAGCGTTGTTACCACAGGACCAATCGCCGCGGGGGCGGCGGGTGGGGGCGAGGAAATTTCCCTTGGGTCTGTATCTTCTTCCAAAAAACGAGCCTGCGAAACGCCTTCCTTCATTCATGTACAGCAAACCCCTCCAAACAAGAGAGGACTGATCCCATCCCCAAACAAACACAATGACGTACCTGCACTAGGCTCGACAAGGGCTCGACGATGTCATCTCCGTCCCCTTCAAAAGACGCCTCCAAATACACGAGGCCCGCCTTTGACTGGCAGTCGTACCGGAGCCTTCGAGGGGTGCTCGTGCTGATGTAACCCCTCAACGCTGTGGGTGAAGGGCAACGTCGTGGATGGGTGGGGGTTGGCATGACAGGTAAGATATTCGGTCTACGGCAGTGGTCCCCGGTCAAAGACCAGAATCCAGAAAACTCACGGCTTTTAAGAACGCCGCAATCAAGGATACCTCCCCACCGAGGACTCCTGTTGCTCCTAACCGAACTGCGGCAGTGGTTCCCGCTCAAAGGACACCATAATAAAGGACACTCACGCCTCTGAACAACAGCACGATCAAGGATGCATCCCCACCGAGGACTCTTGTTGCTCCTAACCGAACTGCGACAGTCGTCTCCGTTGTAAGGACACCACAATTACGATAACCCCCGCTTTACGGGCGCCAAACCTAAGGATGCCCCCCGCTTATAGGACACTCCCGACATAAGGACACTCTCCGCTTCAAGCGCACCATATCCCCCGTTTGAAGAGCGCCACAAAACATACAGACCGCTCCCCGCTCTGAGGTACACCACAATTAAAGCACAATCCCCGCTCGTTTTGGTCACAATGCTTTCAGAAGCTTCAGCGAAGTACATGCGCGCAAAGAACGGGGCTGCGAGTGTCGGGGCGTCGGCGACGAGGAAGGGTAGGGTGCCGAATGGCGAAAAGCGCGTCATCGAGATCTCGCGCGTAGATACAACGAGAGAAGAAGCACTCGCACTGCCACCACCGCCGACGACTAACAAAAACAACAACAAAAACAACTCCAATCGCCACTAAAATAGCTGTTGCAGCGCAAAAATTCAAAAGAGTGCCCGGCAAAATAACAAACAAACATTTGCCGCTGCCGTCGCAAACAAACCAACAATCATCACCTAGCAAGGCACCCGCCACAACAGAACACCAACCAACTCACACAAGTCGTGGTAGGTGACGTGCACGCCGCCCAGCAGGTCTTCCTCGAGCTTGGCCTTCGTCTTGGCGTCGAGCTTCGGCAAGCGGCCGAACCCAGCCCCGTCCACCTCGTCCTCCCCGCCGCCACTACCGCCGCGCCCCCGACCTCGCCGCCCGGTTTTCTTGGGAGCGTCGTACGCACCTTCACGGGCCATGGAGATGTTTCGCCCTTGAAGGGCCATGGCTATTCTCGGGTTTCCCTTAAACGACTTCTGGAGCCTGTTAGTTATGGTCCCGCGGGGGGGGGGGGGGGGGGGGGGGGGGGGGGGCCGGTAAGGAAAAATTTTTTTGGGGGGGGAAAAAGAGGAAAAAAATGGCCCCCCCAAAATTTTTGGGGGGGGGTTGATTTTTTTTGTTTTTTTTTGAAAAAAAAAAAA